TAATAGGAGAGTATTATATTTTTTTTTTTAGCTGTAAAGTCAGTTTTTGCTACTTTATGAAGTCTCCTGTGGTTGAATTGTGTGCTGAAAGGAAGTTACTAAGAAACTGTACTCCTTTCAGAGGTGACCTGAAAAGATCTCATTACTGGATTGTAAAATTTTGTTTTTAATACGACAAATGAGTAAAAGTCCCCGGAAGAGAGAGCTAAATGATCATCCACTACACAATTCCTTGCTTTTCTGCCTTTCCGCATCTGAAAAATGCTCTTTCCAGAACAGAGGTCTTTGTGGGATCAATACTACCGGTGCATGTGTTTTTACCCTGCTCGGTAAAAGTGGATAGCTTTCTGTGTCTAGTCTCTCGGCAAGGAGTAGCAGATACTAGCGGCCCCGCAGGTCAGCAGTCTATCAGAGACAGTTTAAGTCACGAAGAAAACGATTGCTGTGTTGGCTCGTTTGTCTAATTAATTTCCTTTGGGCACTAATGTAAGAATAGTTATTCCGGGACCGTCCCAGGATTCATCTAGTCTAAAATCTTGTTTCCATTTGGAGCTGTTATCGGGGAAGCCCAGTTGAAGAGCTTGATCCAGGACTGTCAACTAAACCATATATGCAGATGCTTTTCAGATAAAATTTTGAACATTCGAATTGCCCTGTGAACAGGTGATTGCGCCTCAAAAATTTGTGAGAGACTTCTGATTATTCTCTTTACCAGAGCTCTCCTTGAAGAAACAGTGTCACAAAAGAAGCAGTACTACTGTCACAGAAAAGGAATAACAGTGTATCTGTTAGTAAAATAATTGATGCTGAGGAGTATTCATTATTTATAAAAGCACTTACTGTGATGCCACCGAGTATTGTCATACTTCGCGAGTTTCAGCTGAGAGATGTGGGAGGTGTCGGGTGCCGTCTGCTGCAGCTCGATGCCCATTGCAGCCTGTTTTTCTGCCTGTCGTGGCTCCCTTGCCACTTGGGGTCGGTCTGATTGCATGAGTCAATGAGGAGGTGCTTTCTAGAGTTTTGTCACGGCGATGGCAGCTGAAGTGGCAGTAAGACTAGGACATCTGGCCCCTCTGCTGCTTCTCCCTTGCCCCTCCGTGTTTGTTATTGACATACCCGGTATAGTCGGACAGGTGCAGCTATGAGGAAGCACTGTCTGTGGAGCAAAAAAGGAAAAATGGAGKCATAACAGACGCCGGTTTTGCTCTCCCGAGGGTATCTTGGGGTGGTCAGGTGATGCCACTGAGCTCTTGGTAGAGGAGGAGGGCACTGTCAGAAAGAGGCTTAGCAGTGCAAAGCAAGTCACAGACTAGTGTTTCAATGTGCAGCTTCAGTGCGCAGTTTTGCTCGATCGCCTTTCTGTGCCAAAAGAGCAAGCTTGCCTAACAGCACCATCTGGCGAGTCCTGCAGTGGAATAAATGGAGGAGCAGAGATAGCCTGTATCACAGAGTCCTGTCCCTCACATTTGGCACTGTAATATCATTTAGGTTGGAAAAACCTTTAAGATCACGAAGTCCAAATGTTGATCCAACAATGCCAAGTTCACCACTAAGGCAATGATGTAATCTATTCAGTAGATTTATAAATGCGTATATATATATGTATACATATGTAGATCTTCAGCAATTGGATGCGAAGCTTATTCTTTGGGCTGTTCAGCAGCTGCTTTCTGCCTCAGCTAAAGTTTGTCAAAAATCATGAAAGAGATTGTTTGGTTAAAAAAAATTACATTAAAGCAATGCAAGTTTAACCTGGTCTGAAACCACTTTAACTGCAGAATTCAATTGCATACGGTAAGTGGCTATATACATGAAAATAGATTTACATGTGCCCAGTATGAGAAGTGCAGAAGCAAAAGACACAGTTTACAGAGAAAGTGGCGTATTTGGACTTACACACTGGAAACCACTCAAGAGAATACTCTTACAGGTGCTTTATTTTGTAGTGTAATCATGGTTGTGGGGTTTTTTTTTTGTTTTTTTGGTGGTGTCTACACGTGTATATATTCCTTAGAAACATTACAACTTTTCCAAAAGGCTAGAAAATTAATCACAAATATAGAAAGCAGGCATCTACTTAGTACTTTACTGTGATATCACACTTTTTCTTGCATTTTTTATAATATTGAAGTGTAGGGAAATACTTCCGCTACAGTCATTCAACATGTCATTTGTAGCGCTTGAGTCCGATTAGTTCAGATGCTGTGCAATTCACTGGTCTGCAGGGTTTTCTTTCAAGAAATCAGAGCGTGTTGATATATGTGTCTTTCACTGTAATGAGGAAAAAATCATAATTGTAAATTGAAAACGCAGCAAGATAGCAAATATGTATATGTAGAACGTTTGAGGTGATCTGCATACATGAGGAATCTTACTTTCCTAGTACCTTGCCTGCTAATGTACACTGTTTACAAGTGGAATCTGCACAAGTGAGAGCACAAAGGGGCAAGTGATGAAAACCTCTAGCAAAAAACTGTGAGGAGTGCATGTGTCTTGACCTTTGCAAAGTAAAACAGAAATCTACTTGGAGTGGACATGCCTAAGATTTTCTAGGAGTTACATGCAGACAGATCTAAGTCCCAAATTGGTAATTCCTTAAATGCAGACACGGGTTAGTTAGTCTCGGGGTATATGCACTCCAGGCCAAAGACATGTCACCTGTTTTTTTAATTTTATCATCTGGTCAGGTGGTCGGGTGTGGCTTCAGGTCGAGAGTGGACAAGCAGCGACCGGTACAGCAGCATAGTGCCACTATAGGGTATGGCACCACGCCTCAGCATCCACGGTTACCAGTGTTCGCATCTACTCCGCTTAGGGGATAGATATCCTTGTAATGTTGAATTGAAACAGAAACACAGTTGAGTGATTCAGAAAGATTCCCCACCCACCTCCCAATATTCACCAGTATTTAAGTTGAGGGTCTTGTGTATTTTGCAGAGGTTTTTTTTTTTATTTTTTTATTGTTTTTTATCCAGGGTTGAACTGCATCAACGAAGGCTTTCTTGAACATCAAACATTTACTTATTTGCTTATTTCTGCACTGATCTTACTGTCACACATTGCTTTCTTTTCCGTTTCCAGCAGCTGTCACCTGCATTCATCATCCCTCAGTGCAGCTGATTAAGGAAGCATTTAGTGCCACATACATGTAATTTGAAGAAGGCTTTTACTAATGTGAGAATTTGTATTGTGTAAGTTTTATTGTTACTGTGCCACGGGAGCGATGGTTCACGAGCATTTCCCTTCTCTTTTTCAGCTTTTCTCGTTGACTTTCCTCAGTGAGAATGGCAAGGATTCGAATTCCTAGCACAATTGTTATAATTTTTGTGACAGTTCAGACTGGATTCTTACTCTTCATGTATGCCCGGTATAGCAGCTTTGTGCATCAGTCCGAGGAGAAACCACGTCAGGTCCACGTACTTATTCTGTCTTCTTGGCGGTCAGGATCTTCTTTTGTTGGTCAACTTTTCAGCCAGCATCCCAGCGTCTTCTACCTGATGGAACCTGCGTGGCACGTGTGGGTTACAATGTACCAGAACAGTGCCAAAGTCTTGCACATGGCAGTGCGGGACTTAGTCAGGTCTGTCTTTTTGTGTGACATGTCTGTGTTTGATGCTTACATGCCTTGGAAAAGAAACTTATCTGATCTTTTCCAGTGGGCAGCAAGTCGGGCTCTGTGTTCATCTCCCGCTTGCGACTCTTTTCAACGTACTGACATAACCAGTGAAATGGCATGCAAGACTCTTTGTGGACGGTATCCGTTCAGCAAGGTGGAGGAAGCCTGTAAAACTTACAGCCATGTTGTCATCAAGGAAGTTCGATTCTTTGACTTGAAGGTCCTGTACCCCCTTCTCACTGATCCGTCCCTGAATCTCAAAATTATTCACCTGGTCCGTGATCCCAGGGCAGTCGTTAAGTCACGGGAACAATCGGTCAAAGCGTTAACTCGTGACAATGGAATTGTCTTGAGTACCAATGGCACTAAAGTGGAAGACAGCAAGTACAAAGTAATGCAAGAGGTTTGTAGAAGTCATGTTCAGATTTATGAAACAGCAACTTTAAAACCACCTAATTTCCTGAAAGATCGCTATTTAATGGTCCGTTTTGAAGATCTGGTAAGAGATCCATTATCAGAAATCTCAGAAATGTATAAATTTGCAGATCTCAGTTTGACTCCCAGGCTCAAAAGCTGGATCTATAATATCACGCATGGACAGGGATCAGGAAAAAAAAAAGAAGCTTTCAAAATAACATCTCGAGATGCAGTTAGTGTTTCACAGGCCTGGAGAAATATTCTTTCCTTTCAGAAGGTTAAGAAAATACAGGAAGTTTGCAAAGGTGCTATAAACATGCTTGGTTATCAGCTGGTGGATTCAGAAAAAGAACAAAGAGATCTGACATTGGATTTAGTGTTGCCGAGACGACAAAGCCAGTTCAGTTGGTTGTCATTTAATCCAAAGCTCTGAGATATTTTTTAGAGATCTGGGGAGATGGGGCAGGGTAGATGTTTGAATATGTCTCTCCTATGTAGCATACGGTAGTTGAAACATGCCTGGCCGATGACTTTAACTATCTTTTTGTCTACTCTTTTTCTGGAATGTGAGAAGGTTTTTTTTTCCCTGATTTTTTTTTTTTTTTTTTTAAATTAAAAAAAGACAGCAACTGTGCTGCTCACAGCATTAAGAATACCATTTAAGCACTTTCTATTAAAAGATGGGTTATCGAAGATGTCTTTGTTTATTAATAATAGTTGACTTTTTTGTGGTTTAATTATTTAAGGATAATAATTCTTTATTTGTATATATTGAACAAAATAGATATTAAATTCTTTCACTTCTTCTTTTGCTTTAAGGTTGATGTGCAATTTTGTATTTTTTTTTCAGGCTTCTCTTGATGTTTTAAATTTTAGACTACAGGTTCTCCAAAAGGTGGGGCAACTGCAGCAGTTGCGTTGTAAAAGGCTTAAATGGGAGCTCCGTTTATTGATAGGTTTCATAGTGGTTTCCTTGGAATGGTAACATTTACAATCAGATACTTGAACGTGATGTTCGCTGGGAGTGCAAAAAGCAAAAGATATGAAGAAACTTTCAGTGGAATCACTGTAAAAATAGCATTTCAGTGTTGTCCCTGTTGTATTTTGATGCCTGAAAGACAGGCTAGAAATAAAACCCCATAGACCGGTGTCTGTAGAGCAGGTGTTTGTTTATTGCAGTGCCGGAGGGGCATCATTTCCCCCCTTTATTCTTTTGTGAATCGTTTCACAACTCGTAAGGCGGTCCCGGCGCGCATTCCCTGAAAATACGTTCCCCTCTCCCACCTGTCTCAACCGGTAGCTCCTCCGATCATCGTAGGAAGTCGTTTGTTTGTACCACCACAAAATACATGGAGTGAGCACACATGTACAGAGCATGATCAGTCCCAAAAACAAATTTCCCAAAAATAATTGTTTTAGCCATTTGAAACTTGGAAGCCAGGATGTGTTTCCAAAAAGTGGTTTGTCCAAGAAGCGTCATCTTTTGTCATTTTGTGAAGCGCTTTTGCACGTTGCAGATTGTGTGTATGTCTGTGGGTATTTGCCCCGATTGAGCCACCTGGGTACAGTAAGTAATATTCACCAGTGTGCAAACTCCTCCTAGTTGTGCTGTAATCATATCTAATACCATTTGATTCTGGAATACTACCTCTTTTATGGAATCTACCTGTGTCTGCAATTGTCCAAAGGCATCTGCTGTTTTATTTGCAAGTATTTCCAYGTCTGCTGAGATGTTAACAAAAGCCTTTTCCAGGTGTGCATTTAATTTGTGATCTGGTTGCTTAGGTTGATTCTCAAACACAGTATAGAGTTTCTCATGCAGTTATTTGTTGTGACTTTTCGATACTCACTGATACACTCATGACCTACTTGAGCCAAGTTTTCATCSTGAGTAGCATTCAATCCGTAAGGCCTACCTACCATAACTGATTTTAAGCGGCTTGATCTTTTGATCTATTTTTCTCTCTCTGAGTTGTGCAAGGGCAATAAGTAAGGCTTGTTACCAGTAAAAATTGGTTTTCYGGCAAATTTTTGCTATTTGCTTCTTGATCGTGAGATTCATTTTCTCTACTTGACCACTAGCTTGCCATCTGCAGTGAAGTTGACACTGAATTCGTTGCGCTTTACCGACTGCTTGCGTACCTTGTGTACAAAAATGTGTTCCCCTATCAGAGGAAATTTCCCTGGGTACTCCAAACCTAGGGGTAATTTCTAGGGGCAGAAGTTATCTAGGGATAATTTCATGGGGCAGTACTTTTACTACTTCTCTTTGTTTGTTTTGCAAGGGAATGCCTCTGGCCACCCAGAAAAAGTGTCAGTAAGCACCCACAGGTATCTGAAACCCCCCCTTTCTTGGGAGCTTGGAAAAACTTTTTTGCCATGCATTCCCCCAGGGAAAGGCTCCCCTGTCAATCACTCATTGTTCTGATCTGACTGTTGTATTGGGATTGTGCCTCAAATGAATGTCAAATTGCGAGGTTACTTCCTTAATAACCGCTGACAGATGTGGGCCTGCAATTGGTGTTTTGAGATGCTGATAAAAGAAAGTGAGAAGCAAAGCAAAAGCTACTCAATAGGTATGCAGTACAGTATTATTCAAACTGGTTTAATCTGAGAAGGACATTAAAGGCTTGTTTACTACCAAGAAAAAGGATAACCTATGTTAAGGTTGCACCAGAGGAAGTGGATTTCAAGAATGAACAAACATTCCTGAATTACCTTTGGTTCTTAAAATCATCATGTGTTTTATCAGAGGAAAGCATTGCTATAAATACTATTTCTCTTTCATCTGGAATCCACATACACTAATAATCTTCATTGCAGCTTTGAATCTGCCAGCCACTATGATTAATGCCAATCAACACTTAGAAACAAAAAGCGCTTATTAAGTTTTCAATCAAAACCAAAGCGGTACAAATTGAAAGCATGCTGGAAGCCTAGATCAAATTTTCAAAAATCTTGTCTCTCCAGTGAGTACCCAGGGTCCGCAGCAGCTGGCTGAGCCGATTTCAAGGTCTGGAGAGCCTTTCCCGGGCAAGGCTCCCAAGTGTACCCTGAAGGGGTTCCAGCTTTTGATAAACCCAAATTGGCAATTGATTACATTTTTAGTGCAGAAACACGTGGGTCTGTTGGCACTTCCCAACCAGCCAGGGCCAGGGCTTGGCCAGAGCCTAGGCCTCAACTGGGAGGGATTCCCTAAAATATCCTACAACCAGGCTTTTATCAAAACTGCTTTTTCACATATTTCTACACAAGTTATCAGCTCATGTTCTTAAACCATTGCCTACCATTCTCCATCACAATTGTTTCAGTAGGCTTCATCCTGTCTCTATAACAAAAAAACTTAATATTTCTTTTTAAATGAGTACATTAGAGCAAAGTTTAAACTGAATTTCACCTAAACTTAATGTCATTCGAAAGCAACATCATCGAAATCTGACAACACCCAATAGAAACTGTCTGACAGAGCTTAAACCCATTAGAGTACAAACTGAACCTCCGCAAAACCCCTACAACAACTACACGCAATAGAACTTAAGGTATTTTAAAGAGCTTGACCTCAACAAAACTTAATATAAATGGAGTTTAGCGACTAATGAAATCAGTAATTTGTTCCATAGCGGCTATTTACTTTTATGGTGCTCACATGAAGCACCAATCATAGAACATACATTTTCATTCATTCACACTCACTCACCGCATTCGATAACACTTCATTTGCTCCCATTCGTATCCAAACAACACCACCAYACTAAGCTACCTTTGTTTTCAGATCACCTTTTCTCCACGGGTTTTAAAGCACTCCATGTAGGCCTAGGTCCTTCCAGTAAAATGAACAAGGATATCCTTCAGAGTCTTCTTCACAGATCTCACAGTCTAGAGTAGGATGTCTCCAGGGGCCACCTGGTTTGCCTGTAACTTTGAGGCTTAATAATGCTGCACGTTTTGCTTCTTGGTCCGCTATGTTATTTCTTCCGATGGTTTTACTTAGGCCCTTTTGATATTCCTTAATATRTACCACTGCTAATTGTTCTGGTTTTCTGACTGCCTTTAAATTGTCTTTGATCAGCTGTTCGTGGATTAGTCCCTTTCCTGAGAAGTTATTAGACTCCTTTCTTACCATATTTCCCAGATGTATGTATCACCCCAAATGCATATTTGGAATCCGTATAAATTGTCCGAAGAATGGGATCTTCTAGCTGTTAACAAAAGGATCAGGACCTGAGGTATCACTGCCCTTTGTGAGGATAATTGACAGGAATAAATAAATTTTCATTCATTGGCTCTTAAGAAGCTTGGGCACGTTCTCTAATTAGCAAAAGTGAGCAAACCCACCTTTTCCTACTACTGAGGACATGTCACCTTTATGACCAGACATTTATTCTCAATCCATAGTGCCTTATGGATACTGATACCAAAGCCAAGTACATTACTTAATTGATTTAATATTAATGCAAATAATGTGTTTTACAGCAATAATCATTACATATGATACTGGGTTTATCAAATGTACATAATGAACACTAATATACGCAGAAAAATATGTACAACATGTACAAGAATATAATATCTGTTATTAAGCATAGAAATTTCAGTTATATATAGTATAGAAAAAAATATGTAATGAATGTAGTATTAAATACAATAATGTATCAATTATGTTTAATACATAATATATAATAATAATTGATTTAGAAATAATATACATAATGCAGAAAACAATATACATAATGCAGAAAACAATATCTATCACAGAATATATTCATGCCTGGAAAAGGCCTAGAAATAAAACCCCATAGAATGGCAGGAATTTGTTTATTGCAGCACTGGAGGGGAGGGGGATTTTCCTCCTAACCCACCTGTCTTTGCTTATAATTGGCAGGTATTTATGCAGTAAGCAAGGTCTAACATTACTATCGTCACTACGCCCACCACCCGTACGTGGGCATGGAAATACCTGATATGTAGCTCTGAACTAGATTATCAGAAGTGCATTCTAATTATTTTAGATACAGTAAAATGTAAACTCTTGAAAAAGCTACTGCTTGTATTAATGAGGAAGACACAATTTTCACAGATAATTTAAAAAAAAAAACCCTGCAAAAGAACTCGGAATTTTCACAGACAGTTTTGGAAAAAAAGAAACCTCAAAATGACCCTGTGATATTTTAGTAGAAATTAAAGTACATCTGCCATTGCCCCTATGGGAGTTCASAGTCCATTCCACTGTGCTCTCCCTCTCTCGCATCAGAATACAAATCATCTTATAAAAACCCCAGCCCTCAAACCACTGGACATAAGTAAGCCTTTATAGCTATTTTCACATTAAAAAAACAGAAAATAGCTCTCTGAGTCTTAGCACAGCTGTCAGGCCCCTATAAGAAAGCAGCGTCCTATTTTTCCAAGCAACTCGACACCATAAGCAAGGGGTGGCCTGCATATTTCAAAGTAGTTGCAGCAATTATCATCCACATCAAAAAAACAAAAAAACTCATGCTAAAACAGACACACGGTATCAGCTGTCCTAGAGGAAAAGGAAAACCACTAGCTGTCTCCTTCGATATTCCTAAAATACCAAGCAATTGTAGCCAAATGTAATGACATTGACATCCAAGTAACTAACACTGTTAACCCTGCTTCCTTTCTGCCAAAAAACTCCGAAGCTGAACCAGTAGTACACGATGCCTAAGAACCATCGAAGCTGTGTACTCCAGCTGTGCAGATGTGAAAAAAAACGTTTCAGATGCTGACAACTAGTTCACTAATGGCAGCAATTTCATAAAATCAAAACCGCAGAAAACTAAATATTATGTAACCACTGTCTCTGAAATAATTAAATCGAATTCATTACCTGCAAAAACTTCAATTCAAAAAGCAGAACTGATAGCTGCAACCCAAGCATTAGAGCTAGCTAAAGAAAGAAATCATCAATATGTAGAGAAATTCGAAATACGCTTATGGGATATCCATTGTATAGTAAAATTTAAAAAAACGCCAACTCTTAACAGCAACACAGAAAAAATTTGTGGAACATGCAACCGATATCCTCAAACTTCTCAAAACAGTGAAACTCCTATCACAAGTAGCAGTTATACATTATCCAAAACACTGAAGCACTCAAGAAGTAATGCTCCCCCCTCAAAAAAAAAAATTGTAAATTCCCAAGCTAAATGAACTGCTCCAAAAAAGCTTCAATAATAACTGCTTTAATACCCAAGAACAGAGATACAAATGAACAAATAAATTATCAACCATCAAATGAGAAATAGATACAAAATAATAAAAGAAAACCTTCTAAAAATAATTAAAAGCAGTTAAAAACAAGCCAATTAGTAATACCTAAAAAAAATTGTAATATACTATGTACATTGTAAACATAATAAAAATCAGTGAACAATAAATCCTCTTTACCAGTATCTCAAAGCACAGATTGCAAGCACAGGTTTGTTAAAAGTTATGGAAAAAGTAACCTGACAATGCCAAATCTGTCTATAAAACAATCCCAGTACAACAGTGAAAACAAAAAATAATTGAGCCAGAACACCCTTCCTCCCCCCCCGC